GCAAGTGCAGCTTTAAAAAATAGAATGCATAATACTGTATGTACATGTATATGGACTGACTTTATTATTCTCACTCCAGTTCCTTTAGCCACAAACTCAATGACTTTAGAGCACGGGTCAATCCTACCAGTGACACAGCCAGCACTGTCACTAACATTAGTTGGTCTCCTGGTTCTCAGGTAGTCACTCTCAGCCAAATCAAAATGACAATATGGAACTAGTGAGTTTCCTTGAACTATGAGGTCTAGTGGCTTTGCTGATGATTCAAGATGCTGTATCCTACAATAAAAATAATAACACAAATAAATACAATGTGCAATACATTCAGTCATTCACAAAGTACATGTATATCCATAAAATTCATAGACTTCAACAAATACATTCATAAATACTCATACATGTACATGTACATGTATGTGTAGCTTGGAAAATATTTGCCAGAATCAACTCAAACTTTTTACACAGCATAAGGGTATCAATGTGTATCAGAAAATGTAATAAAAATTGGGGATACTTTTGGAGCCATTTTTGAAAAAACCATGGGCTATAGCCTTTGTTTTTTTCCAAAACTGACTCATTTTTAGCCATTTTTGTATAACTATGTGTAGTACATGGTCTTTCTTCAGCCAATTTTTGAGAAACTTTAACATTTGTAATAAAAAAGAATTTTGATTGGAATAAAGCTACACAGCACATGTACATGCATATACCATAACTACATGTACATGTACATGTACCCATGCAGTGATTGACATACTTGCAGTGTAGTTTGTATAATATGCTTCCAATTTCAAGTGGAGAGTATCTAACTGCTATCATCTGCTCTTGTTCTGGTGGTATCTCTCCCTTGCAAGGGTCTATCTGTATCAATAGCTCCTCCATCTCGTCCTCCTTGGCAGCATCTTTCAACACTGGCTCTGCTCCTTCAATCTCCTTGATCACATACCACTTGTAACTGAGAACAACTTTACCAGTGTTCTTCAATGGAAAACTACACATGTATCATAAAAATAACATTAAGCATAAACATAAAATGTATGTAGCATTATTTTTTATACATATACATGTAGGTATACATGTACATGTACATGTGTTTGCTCTTAAAACTTTAAATTACCTAAATACTTTAGTTTGGAGTACATAGGTATCTTTAAAGTCAATGAGTCTTGAGGGACACTCATATTTAGCATAAGCTGCCTCAGCAGTTAGGAATATGTCAAGATCTTCACCAGTTTTATCAAAAACCTTGTGCTCTGGCTCAGCTTCTGTTTCAACCACTTTGGCCTTCAGTGGAGGCTTACCACCATCTACTAAAATTAAAAAAATTAAATTATACA